TATTTAAGGTTAAGGACATTGCGCAGCTTCTGAAAAGTAACGCAGCCACAGGCGCATATTCAAATCCTTTGTTATAATTTCTGCTTCTTGTTTTATTTGTAGTCGTTTTTTATTGCTTTTTTGCATTTAATTTCTGTTGCTTTTCATGAATTTATTATATATGTTAAGCAATTAATGTTGAAAATCAATACAAACATAAGTACCAATGCACGCATGTTAATATAAGCAGATAATAATCTTATGTTATCTACAAGTTATCTGTCACTGTTGCATACGAATGTAAGCATAAAGAATATGTATAGCAAAAGTGTCAGTCTCCAATAAAACTCTAAAGCGAACAGACGCACGGCGGTCCGCGACTATTGTCTTTTACTTTACTCCTACTGAGCCCTTCCCTTTTCAGCGAATATATAATCTATTCAATAGGTTATGGGCCCAGGGCATATAGGCTCATAGGAGAAGTTCAAAGTATTGTGAAATAGTAATCGTTTGGTGACTCAAGAAATATAACATTTAAAAAATGAGTGCGCTATATCAAATAGACAAATTGGAAGAGCATAACTATGACTCATGGAGCATACAGATGCGATCTGTCTTAGTGCACGCGGAATTGTGGAGTGTGGCATCAGGTGCTGAACCTAGTAATACTGAGAGTTCAAGGCCAAAAGATGAAAAGGCATTAGCAATTATAACGCTAAGTGTAAAAGCTTCACAATTGGGCTTCATTAAAAATTGCAACACTTCGTACGAGGCATGGAAAAAGTTAAAGGACGTTCATCAGCCGAGTGGACCTGTACGGAAAGTGTCGCTGTACAAGAAATTGCTAGGCAAACGCATGTTTCAAGGCCAAAGCATTTCAAGTTACATACACGAATTTAACGAAATTCTGGATGGTTTGTGTACAGTTGGCATCGAATTAAATGATGAGTTAAAAACAATCGTGTTGTTGTCAAGCTTGCCCGAACCATACGAAAATTTTGTCGTCGCCATTGAGACGCGTGACAATTTACCGTCATTTGATGTGTTATGTATCAAGCTGATGGAAGAGGGAGAGCGCAGAGGCAATGCAGATGGAGAGAGCGAGAATGCAAGAGCATTTATAGCTACGCAGCAGATCGTCGCGCATTCCAAAGCGAATTCAAAAAGGAATTCAAAAATCGTCGTTTGCTACAACTGCGGCGAAAAAGGGCACTACAAGGCACAGTGCAAGCGTGAGAAAATTCGCGGTGAAGGGAAAAAGCAATCGACAAAGAAAGAGATGGAAAAGCAGAGCAGCTTGTTAAATGCGTTGGACGTTGGAAAGATAGAGAACAACATGTGGTGTCTGGACAGCGGAGCAACAAGCCATATGTGTTGCGATAAGACGTTATTTTCAAAATTTATTGCGCACACTGAAATGATCGGTTTAGCTGACGCTGGTTTCCTGAAGGCCGAAGGCAGAGGAGAGGTGAAGTTACAGACAGAACTTTGTACCTTGGTGTTGTCAGATGTACTGTATGTACCGAAAATGAATGGCAACTTTATGTCCGTCAGCCGGTCAGTGCAAAAGAACAATGTTATACATTTTGGGCCACATTTTGCTAAAGTTATACAAAACGGCGAGTGTATACTGAAAGCGAATAAAGTTGGGAACCTTTATATGTTTCAAGGCAAACAAAATAGGTGTTATTCCGCAACTGAATCAGATGGTACATTGTGGCATAAGCGTTATGGCCATTTAAATTTTACCAGTCTGAAGGAAGTGATCAGCAAAGAGCTAGTGCGTGGTATTGGAAAGGTTTTTTTCCCAGACAACTTGAATTGCAAAACGTGTATGCTAAGCAAAATACATGTACAGCCATTCCCAAAGGTAAGCACTAACCGTGCCGAAGAGCTGTTGGAACTGGTTCATGCTGATGTATGCGGCCCATTCGACACGAAGTCACTTGCTGGATCCAAATACTTTCTGACCTTCATCGATGACAAGTCCAGGCGTATATTTGTTTATTTTTTGCGGAAGAAAGATGAAGTGTTCAGTAAGTTCGTCGAATTTAAAAACTTGGTTGAACGGCAAACAGATAAAAAGCTCAAATGTATTCGAACCGACAATGGAGGCGAGTTTGTCAACACAACATTCAACGGTTTCCTGAAACACCATGGTATTGCAAGGCAATTGACCGTGGCTTATACTCCGCAGCAGAACGGCGTGGCGGAAAGAGCAAACCGGACATTAACGGAGATGTCCAGATGCTTATTGGTGCAGTCGGGCCTAGGCGAGTCTTTGTGGGCCGAAGCAGTCAACACAGCAGTATACATAAGAAACAGATCACCTACCAGTGCACTGAACAACCTGACTCCAATGGAAGCGTGGACAGGTAAGAAACCCTGTGTTAGCCATCTAAAAGTTTTTGGTTCCATTGCAGTTGCACTTGCAAAGGGTCCCCGTAAAGGCAAATTCAAACCCAAAGGGCATGAGTACCGTATGGTTGGGTATTCGGTAGCAGCCAAAGGCTATCGGTTATACGACCCAGAGACGAGGACGATTGTCGAAAAACGAGACATTCTATTTGATGAGCGTTGTGGTGGTCATACCAATGAAGATACCGTTACGGTAGATTTTCCTGCATGCGAGGTTCAAGAGCATGTCACTCACACGGATGGTGACAGAAGCATCGACGACGATGACAGTGAGCACAGTTCTGACGACAGCAGCTCCAACGCATATGAGAGTGCAGTCGAAAAAGAAGACTCTGACGAGGATACTGTGAAGATTGGGCCAGGCCGGCCTAAAATTGTTCGAAATGGTAAACCTGGTCGTCCAAGAAAGCAATACAATGTGCTTGGAGCATTGGTTGCTAGTGACGTAATGGTTCCGACATCCTATGATCAGGCCGTTGGTAGCACACATGCAGTATTCTGGCAAGAGGCGATGCAAAAGGAATATCAGGCACTACAATCAAACGAAACCTGGCAGATGGCTGATTTACCAAAAGATCAGCGAGCAGTTGGTTGCAAGTGGGTATACAGCCTGAAACGTGACTCTGATGGAAAAGTCGAACGTTTCAAGGCACGACTCGTTGCTAAAGGGTGCTCCCAGAAGTATGGCGTGAACTATGTAGAGACGTTCTCACCCGTTTGCAGATTGGAAACCGTGCGGTTTATTTTGGCGTTAGCAGCGGAATTGAAGCTGTACCTTCACCAGATAGATGTGTGTACCGCCTATTTGAATAGCGACCTGCATGAAACTGTTTATATGAAGCAGCCACAGGGATACACAGATCCCAATAATCCAAGTAAGGCTTTATTGCTTAAAAAGGCAATATATGGATTGAAGCAGTCGGGGCGCGAGTGGAACTCCAAGCTCGATTGTGTACTACAAGGCATAGATTTTGTAGCATGTGAAAATGAACCGTGTCTTTACAAAAGGAACGGAAGAGGTGACTTATCATTAATCCTTGTTTATGTTGATGATATAATTATAGCATGCCGATCAAAAGAGGACTTGGCCAACATCAAGTCAGCCATTATAACATCGTTTGAATGTGTTGACAAGGGAGAGCTGCATTTGTTCCTTGGCATGGAAGTGCAGCGCGACGGTGAGCTTGGCGAAATTTCGCTAAGCAATTCGCAATACATCAAAGACATATTGCGTGAACATGGATGCGAGACCTGTAGACCTACAGCGACCCCACTGGATGCTGGTTTCCAAGTGATATGTACCAGCGAGCATTGTCAAAAGGTTGACATTGCATCCTACCAGTCTTCAATTGGCGAGTTAATGTGGCTGGCGCTTACAACAAGGCCAGACATATTGCATTCCGTTGCCAAGTTAGCTCAACGGAATCAAGATCCGCATGCAGAGCACCTAGTGGGTGTAAAACATGTGCTTCGATACCTGGCGTCAACTGTGGACCTGAAGTTGCACTACAAAGAGTGTGGACAACCCCTTACCGGCTATGTGGATGCAGACTGGGGTGGCGACCGCATCGATCGCAAGTCGTATACTGGCTATGTATACTACTTGGCTGGAGGACCCATATCCTGGCGATCTGAAAAGCAACGCAGCGTGGCACTTAGCAGCACGGAGGCGGAGTATATGGCTCTTTCAACTGCGTGTAAGGAGGCCATATACCTACGGCGTCTTATAGTGGAGATTGGCTGCGGTGACTCGAGTACTCCAACTATTCTTCATGGCGATAATTTAAGTGCTCAACAATTAGCTAAGAATCCTGTACACCATGAAAGAACAAAGCATATTGATATTAGATATCATTTTGCAAGACAGGTTGTAAACGAAGAACAAATTGTTTTACAGTATACATCAACCAATGAAATGATAGCTGATATTTTAACGAAAAATCTCCCTAAAGCGAAGCATGTTCATTTTACAAAGCTGTTAAATTTGATTTGAAAATTTTTGTAAAACATGTTTGCATTGAGGAAGGGTGTTGAAAATCAATACAAACATAAGTACCAATGCACGCATGTTAATATAAGCAGATAATAATCTTATGTTATCTACAAGTTATCTGTCACTGTTGCATACGAATGTAAGCATAAAGAATATGTATAGCAAAAGTGTCAGTCTCCAATAAAACTCTAAAGCGAACAGACGCACGGCGGTCCGCGACTATTGTCTTTTACTTTACTCCTACTGAGCCCTTCCCTTTTCAGCGAATATATAATCTATTCAATAATTAAACAAACTTTAATCGAACTTTGAAAAATTACTTTTTAATTTAACGACACATTTCAGCAACGGCACTTTTAGCCAAGCCCTTATCTAACCTTAAGCATAACAATACAGTTAAAAGTGCTAAAGTATTAAGTAAATAAAATATATTAATATATAAGTAATACAATTTTTAATGAAAACATGTTTCACTTTCGTTTAATAATTGAAGATAAATACCATTATTTGTTTTAATCTGAAATAAAGTTCATCAGCGCCCTCTGTGGCCGTAAAGTTGCACGCCAGTCAAAAATTGTGCAAGATGGCAGCGCCAACTACCAAATCTGTTTAGCACAAGTTGGCAGAGGAGTGTAAAATTAAGTAAAATACGTGGTAAGAGAAGCTCAAAGCTATGGCAAATAAACCGAAAAAACAATCAGAAAACGCAAATGATTGGCAACAGAGCGATGAGGAGGACAACTGGGATGACTGGGGCGATGATGATGATAAATTTGTGGAATTGTCCGCGGCTGAAGAGCCCGAAAAACCAGTAAGCAGCGAGAGCAGCAACAAAAGCAACAACAACGCAAGTACAACACAATCAGCACCAGCCGCTGAGGATCAACAAATGACGGCATCTAAGGCAACAACTCCATCGTCTGGATCCTCGTCGTGGGGCCTGTGGGGCGGCAAACTAACGTCTGTGCTGACAACAGCCACCGAAGGATTGGGCAACATAACCAACCAAGTGAATCAGGGCTTGAACCAAATTATAGGCGTGCCCGACCCCGAAGAGCTGGCGCGCAGCAATGTAGCCGAGAAGGCGAAGGAGCAAGCAGCAGCGCCCGCAGAAACGGAAGCAGTTTCTCCAACGCGTGACAGTGAGAACGGGGATCCTGGTGCGCCCGGTTTCGGACTGGGCTTTGTCACCACCTTGGGGTCCAAAGTACTAAACACGGGCCTTGACACGCTCGAAGGTATTGGCAAGAAAACAATGAATATACTGCAGGAGAACGATCCCAAATTGATAAACAAGCGTAAATTACTTGGCCTGGATGCAAATAAACCCAATTTAAGCGCTATTCTCTTGGAAGCCAAAAAGGATGCCGATCAAATGGAGAACTCCTTGCGGCAGTTGGAGCTGGAGAAGCAAAAGGCGCAGCTACGCTTCGAGATACTTTTTGAGAACTATTGCGGACTGGTGCATTACGAAGCCTTAGAAATACTCTCCAAGGAGTCGCGACTCAAGCTGGACACACTTCTTGAGGCGGTGAGTGGAAATGCATTAAGCGAACTACAAGAAACGATCAATGAGGTGAAGGAGCTGCTCGATCTGGAGGACTTGGAGTGCGAAAGTGAAGGCGACTATGCGGCTGAAGGACTGGGCGAACGTTTGCTCTCCACCATAGCCGACACGGAAGTAGGCATTCAGTTCGACGACATTGCTAAGTGAGTAAAACGAATTCCGAATGCATTAAATCAAATATTACTTTTATTTTGTTTTCATTTCAGTCACTGGTCACAATCACTTGGCTGGTTAGACTCCGAAGAGTCCAAGACCGCCGATCTGGAGGAAACCTATGCCAAGAGTATACACGCACTCTCCGAGGCGTGTGCCCTGGAAATGTGTAAGCTGCACAAAATTGCCGAATTGCTTTTAGTTAAGTCCCATCACAGTACTGCCAACGAAGTCGACGGCATTGCGAATCTTTGCAAACAATTCAACGCCCATCTTCAGGGTCTGACGCATCGCTATGCGGCCATTTTAAGTACCAAGAGCACCAGTGATGAGGAGTTGGCCAAGACGCGAGATACAAATATGCTGTTCACCGAAATGTTGGCCGCCGTTAAGTTTATAGAGCAGGCCTATAAGCTATTTACGCCAATATTGCAAATGGGCGCTGTTTAGTCATGTTTTTGTTGTTGTATTTATACCCTAGTTTGGTTTTAATCTGTTTAAGGTAACTTCAACTCCTGTATGCTATCTCTTTAAATATAATATGCATTCAATACTATGTGATAACATTCCAAATTGTCACTATTTGTTAATGGGAGCAATTAGTGCAATGCGATTATGATGGCTCAAGCAATTAAATTATTAACGCCCTTGCTGCTTAAAAAATATTGTGGGCGCCCTCCTCTGCGATTCTCATACCAAGTACTTAAGCGCTGGCAAATTGAGAATTAAATAGTGAAATTTCTGGAAAATTAAATAATATTGTGGAATTAAATTGAAAAATTTAATAAAAATATTGTGGGCGCCCTCCTCTGCGATTCTCATACCAAGTACCTAAGCGCTGTGAAATCAATAATTAAATAGTGAAATTTTTGAAAAATTAAATAAAAATATTGTGAAATTTGTCTTAAATTAAATAAAAATATTGTGGGTGCCCTCCTTTGCGATTCTCATACCAAGTACTTAAGCGCTGGCAAATCGATAATTAAATAGTGAAATTTTTGAAAAATTAAATAAAAATATTGTGTAATTAAATTGTGAAATTTCTGATAAATTAAATAAAAATATTGTGGGCGCCCTCCTCTGCGATTCTCATGCCAAGTACCTAAGCGCTGGCAAATCGAAAATTAAATCGTGAAATTTCTAAAAAATTAAATAATTATATGGCACTTTCTTTAATTTGCAACATATTGTTGAACTTTTCAAAATCAAAACAAAGCTTTTGTTTGAATATCGCTTACAAATTATTATTTTTCTTGTAGTCAACATATTTCCTGAAACTGGAAAACTATAAGGAATCGTAAATTTCAAGCTTCGAATTTTTCAACTGATGCTTATTTCCAATCAATACATATTCATGTGATTCCGGGTAATTCAGAAACAGTTTGTAAGTAGCCGAAATTAATAATTGTCAATATTTAGTAAAATATATAAATTTGCATGAGTTTCACTTATAACTTTTATTACAACTAATTATGTATACAATTTTTTTAAAGTTTAGCATGCATAGTTTACATTTTACAATTGATTAACAAACTGATTTGTTTGTTTACTTCCTAATTAAATCAAATGAAATACAAATTACAAAGGTCTTGTGAGGAGCTCCTCTCTGTAATCCAAAGAATCAAGCATAATTGAAAACGCGGTCAATGCGGGAAAGTTATTGCGAAATGTTGTACGTAGTTATGCATTTGCAGGATGCAGCTAAACGTTAAAGAACTACTACTTCTAAATCATGTTGCGAACTAAACTAAAGGGTTGTCTGTCAAACGATTTGTTTTAATATGGGTAGAAGCGAATTTAAAACCGCAAGTCGGGTTTATATTTCAACATATATCTGTGGAGTGCATAAATATTAATCAGTTATTGCTTGTGGCTTGCTTAAATGTCTGCTACACTCACCTATCCAATGTTTCCCAGAATTTACTGAGGACAGCGCGATCCAAATGCCGCTTATTTTGCGATAGTCGCAACAGTGTCACTGACCAACGCTCCACATTTGAATCCAATTTCAGTTCACTAAAGCACAAGTGAAAGGCGCAAACTACGAGAAAACAATTGTTAAAAAACATCGTTTCCTTGCTTTTCTTCTAGTGTGCCACTCACTTTTCGAGAAGATCTCCACAGGATTGCCATCCCAGGGCCAGCCTTTAAACTGCCATTGTGGGCCCATCACAAAAACAGCGACCACGCGTTGCCAATCTTGTTGCGTCAATTTCAATGGATTATCAATGATGCGATAGGATACAGTCTGATTATTGCGTTTGCGCTGCAATTACAAAAATAAAAAATTATACACATAAAGTACAAAATCAAAAAAATTATATAGTATTTGAGCTAACCTGCAAAAGAACCTCACTGTCACGCTGGCAGCCCTGCATTTTCTTCTCTGCTGTTGACATAAACCGCAATTCCTGCAGAATATCCTTGACATTCAGCATGGTTATAAGGCTTGTATTGGCAGACGGTATGATAATGATGGGGGTGCGCGAAGGACGCTTATTCGGGCCATTCGCAGCTGGCAGTTGGCGAGCCTGTGCGGTGGGCAACAGCTCTTTGGGACGTCCAACAGCAGGTCCTGGCAGCGGCATGTTTCCTTGCGCCTTGCGCTGAGCCAACGAGCCCTCCGTCACTGATTTCAGCGACATGCCATGATAGGTACCCAGCGTATCGATTTTGAAGCCCTCAGTTTCTGTAAAGAAAACATACACAGTAATAAATTAATGCTAAGCATAAATTATTGGTAATGGCACACCACTCACCCTCCTTCTGACGATTAAAGCGCTCCTGATCGTAACGATTATATTGCGAGAGCTGTGGCTGAGGCTTAGATATACGCGGTTCGGGCATTTTGATGGCAGTTTGTGTGGGTGGACGATTACGTCCCTCTTCCCGTGCCTTTATACCTTGGAGCAAGGCAAAAATGTTTTTGGCAAATATCTTGCCTGTACTCTGCAGAACAGAAGTACGTGTACGCCACTGCCGCTCACGACTGATAATATCCTTAGTGGAGTCGACGTCGTAGTCGAGAATGGCACGCAAATCCGTGCCCATGGCTTCCTCGTTATCGGTGCGTTTAATAGTCGTTCGCTTATTTGCCAAGCGTTTCGCTTTAATGGCCGCAATTTTCTCAACCGACATAGTCTCTGACAGTGATTTAATATTGTCCATGTTGACAGCGGTCTCTTTTTGGTTGACATCCCAGCGAGCGGCCAATTGTTCGCGCACCTTCTGCACCTGTGTCTCCTCAAAGCGCGCCTTTTTGGCCGCCGACTCGCCACTGATAGCATCCCCATCGGCGGCGCGTTTCACCTGCGTGGGTATCTCGAGGGGCGCACTTTTGTCAATGCTGGCACAGGTGGATGTCTCGCCATTGAGATAGGCGAGCAGTTCCTTACGATCCGGACGATTCACAGCCGGTATATCTTCGGCGGCACACTGACGCACATATACCGAGTGCTGCAGCATAACATTCTTGAGCAGATATAGCAAGCACTCCAGCGTGTAGTATTCACGTGGAGCGCCCTTCTTGCCGGAGCTGCAACAGTATGGAGTTGATAACTTGGATATTTGTGCAGATGCAGCAGCGCAACTTACCCATATTTGAGATAGTTAGTCTTGACATTCTTCGGCCAGGAGAATTCACCGAATATGATTTGATTCTCACGCTCAATTATCTCCTTTTTGTTTATGTTATATTGGCGGAGTAAACTGAGAGGATCCGCCATTTTTGCGTGGCCGTCGTTTTACGCACGTTTTTTCAAATTTATGTTATGGATAATGCTTGAGCCGTAACACTGTTCCATGCAAATTTGTACACTTAAAATCTAATAAAATGCACTTCAAAATGGTTTTTTATTTATTGCAAACGCCATTCCGCATATATTTCGCGTATTAGTTTGCCGTCACCAAACTACTCGATAGCATGTCTTGCCGCTGACATCGAATAGTTTGGCATTGCCACATCGGTCGGTTCGCTTGAGCAAATGTAAACAAAGAGTATCGGTATCGATTTGACAGTCAGTACAAGTATCGAAGTGGCAAATGGCGCCGGCACGCACAAGCCTTTTTTAACAAATGCAAACTAAAATTTAAAGCTGCCATCGTACAAAATGCAAAACAGCATTGCATAATTGTACAGAATACCATGTGAATTTATACTATTTATAGTGCTCGAATCGCAGAAACTCAGTTTCGTGCTTGTTCTCGCCTTGCCTGTGCGACGTAATGTGTTAGTGTTTAGTGCCTTTCCAAAAGCTAATTTATGCAGGAGAAACATGCTGTAGGGATTAAAGAAGAGAAAAAGTTTGTGATTTAAAACAAACTGCTCCAGTCGGAGCTGCATCATGGGTCAGTCGGCGGGCAAAATCGGTAAGTTAAACAACCTTCCTATAATTAAATTGGAGTCTAGCGGGTATTGCATAAATGCAATAAGCGTTTATATTAAACAGATATTCTTTTATCTGTCCGCGTACTTTGTCTCATATTGAAATAGTTGTCAATAAGTGTTCTTCATTGCAACGCAAAACATTTTCATGATTGTCAGGATGGTGTGCCGCCGCATCGTGAACATTCCAATAAGCCTTGCAACCTTCCCTGCCTCACCAACACATGCTTCTACTTTTGAACAGCTGTGCTAGCGATGACACTTTTCCAATCGCATTTACGTGCGATGTATTTCAAACAGTCTTCACAAATTTTGAATTCAAGTATTGTTTTGGGAATTTTCTTTTGTTTTTGTTTAAAATGGGCGATAGTGCGAAACGCACCGTATTGCTGTTTCCATCCGAAACCATAGCGAAGTCGAATGCAGATCTCTTTGTGAAAGCATTGCACTTTCACGACTTCGAAGCGATATGTGTTCCGCCCGTGCACTTTGTCTATAAGAATTTGTCGCAATTGCGAGCAAAATTGCAAACACCGGAGAATTATGGGGGCATTATATTCTCGTCTCCACGATGCGTCGAGGCCGTGGCCGAAGCGCTGCAGCAGGCTCCTCTGAGCCACGGCTGGAAGTTATTGCGCAACTATTCCATGGGCGAAGTCACACACAACTTGGCCTACAAAGCATTGCAACAGCTCTGCACAATTGGCAAGGCCTCTAACAATGCCTCCAATCTGTGCAATTTAATTATGGACACGTATGCTCAGGAACCAGAGCTACCCTTCCTGCTGCCCTGCGGCAATATGGTGGGCAATGCGGTGCGACTCAAACTGCTCCAAGTAGGTTACAGCGTGGACGCCTGCGAGGTCTTCGAATGTAAATGTCATCCCAGATTCTCTGCCTTGATGAAAAGTGCCTTGGACGCTGGGAAGATGGAATTTCTCGTATTCTTTTCACCTGCAAGCGTGCCTCAAATTGTGGGCTATTTCAAAGCTAATCTAATTTCATTGGCCAAGTGTAAAGTAATTGGTGTGGGATCAATCACACGGAAGGCATTGGAGAGAGAGGGCTTAAAAGTTCATCATACGATCGTCAGGCCAATAGTGGAGGAGCTACTAGGGGTAATGGTGAAGACAAATCGTGCAGCTAAAATTTAAGAAATGTCTTCAAATTTATGTGCGGGGTTTTCATTAAATTATGAGTTACCTTAGTTGCACTATTTTAATTCAGCCCTAATCAGCTTAGGTCGCAGGAGTCAGCTCTTCAAGTGCTCAAAGCAACGCCCTTCAAAACGATTGAAAAACTCTCACGTGGCTATAAAAACAGCTTAGGCAAGGATTTACAAAAGGGCGCGAACTTTGACGTAATGCAAAAGGACTCTTTACAGGTGCAGCGCGGTGCACTATTACCTGTGTTTCGGGTCAATCGAAGCGCAAATCAGTTTCAATACTGGCGTTCTTTTTTATTAGAACAACAAACGGCATTTGTAGTTTTTTGACTGGCCAAAGATTTCAATGCAGCTGTAGATAATAAATTATAGAGTTTATGGCAATGAGAGAGAAAGACGAGACCCCGACCCAGACGCACGAAGGATAATGGAAAACCCAATAAGTGAAAAAACGCCTAGGCGCACATTTGGCCGAAACAAGGGACAGGTAAGGCATTGGCATTGGCCATGAAAACAAAGGCACATGCTGGCAGAATACATACGAGTCTGTACATACCCTTACGTCCAAGGCGCTCTCTATGACTTGCCGAATGCAAGGAAATTTTGTGTTTCAAGAAAACCCCCATGTGTAAAACGAAACTAAGCAAATGCGCAAACATTTGGCCAGCTAACAACATTCTACTCTAACGGTGAGAGAGGCAGGACCTTGGCCATAAAGGCAGCTAACGTTCGTACGTATGGACGAGATACAATTCTCCATTGTTCTTTGTTTGTTGGCTGCTGCAGCATTTGAATATGCCACACATATGTTTATATTTTGGCGGGTATTTCAACAACTCTCTGTCTGATATTTGATTAGCGTTTTGCCCCGCACACACACACACGCAAACATGGCCACAGGCGGATATGCGCGGAAGTGGATTTGTGGAAGTGGCGGCTGACTATCGTTAGATTTCGATCGTTGCGCCCTCGCCAGTTGTGGCACCATGTCTGGGGCTGCGCACAACTGTCGAGCAAAGAAAGCGCATCGAGGAGAGAAAGACTTATACATAGCATGGGTGTGTGTGTGTGTGTGTGTGTGTGTGTGGGTATCCTGCAAGGATATACTATATATAGAATGTGTTTATATATGTGCATGCACACAAAAACTAACTGCTGTTATATTTCTCAAGTGGTTGCGCAATTCTCTCCCTCTCTCTCTCTCCATTTTCATTTTCTTTGGCCTGCTGGATTAGTTTCCTATGTTTATACAGCCACAACAATCGAGGATCATTCGAGGAGCAATGGCAACGGTTCCTTTCCTACCAGTTTGCATATGTCGTTTTCTAATTAAACGTACGCTCTTCTCCATGGGCATTTGTTACAGTTTCGCTGGCAAATGTTCCATTTTCGTTAATTACATCTGTAGATGTGCGGCTTTAGATAGCCGAGGATTTCTCTTTGGGGCATGCCTGACTCGTAGTTTGCTTAAGGATTCCAACGATTGGTGCAGCTGCCAAAGAGCACATTAAACGTATATTTGAAATGATATTAAGAAATTCAATTCCAAGTTATTTACTTTCTTTAATTTTTGTGTTTCCCGTAACGAGTCCTTCCATATCCTGAGCATATATTAATACAAGTATTTATAAAGAGTCGAAAGGAAGAGAGGACCTTTTGTTTTATTTAAATATAAACATTTTTAAGATATGCTACAAATAGAATCTGTCCTAACTCATTAGACCTGTTTGGCAATCCCTTAACATTAGGGCCTGCCCTTTTTAAAATAACCGTAACACTCCTCATCTTTAAAACTAAAACTTTGCAATCAATTTCCTTCCGAACTCTATAAAGAGAGCTCATTATTTCTGAATTTGTAATATCAATCTCGATAATACTGGTCATAAGAAAGCACTTCAGTGATCAATTATCTCTTCACCCAATGCACATACGAGTACATATTTATATGGCGCTTTACTAACCCACTTCCGTTAAGGCATTCCCTTCCATTATCTTTGTTTATATGGCCGGCGCTTATCAGATCACTTGAACGCTCTCAGAACTATTGAATTAAAAAATATATCTATATTTTGCATTATTTAATACGATTTAATTAAGATGTTTCTTGCCGATTAGAGCCAATTCAATATTGAATTAAGAGCGTCACGTTTTATCTTTAGGGCTGGTTCAACTTTGTACCAAGGTGAAGGCAGAAACATTTGCTTACAGCATGATCAACAGTTCCACCACATGCTCGATGATAACAAGTTAATAAAATATATACCACATAGAAAAAAAGAACGGTCTATGATTAGATATTAAGTTGTAACTGGTTGGTTCGATATTTAGGGTGCGTATTTTTGAATGTAAGATGGAGTCCGTGTAGGATAAGGAAAAGCTGCACAAAACATGCCCTACAATTTTAAAAGATGCGTTTAGCTTACAACTATTTCCAGCGTGCTCTTATTATTTTTTTTTTATAAGTCATTTATCCACAGAGTTAGGGTAGTTAGTGGCAATATAAAAGCTATGCCCGTTTAAAACTTTTCACAGCTCATTCTTTCGTCATAAGGCGTTCAAAAGGTCAGAAAATATGGCTAAGAACATAAGGTGGTGGTGCATATTTGAATCTGAAATAGAGCTTAGTTAACTTTGATTTAAAGTTAAACAAATACCATAAACACACTTTAGAACACATTAAGTTAAAAACTTTCCAGTTTTTATTATTTTAAACAGTATTTTCACAATACTTTTGTTGTTCCGATAAGAAAGCAGTGTTTCATATTGATTTAGATACCCGCCATTAATGCACTTAAAACTTTTAAAAGTATAAGGTAAATTATTGCAAAAACTATATATATTCCAAATTCTGTCTCGTTGTGATTAAAAGTAAAGGGGACCCTACAATCTACTCTCTGTTTATGGTGATAACAATTAATAAATATAATTATCATTAAATTATTAATTTTTATACGATTTGGATCATAGTTCCAATAAATATTTTTGCTAGAATTTATGGAAAATTAGCCAGCAAGCTCAAGCAAAGACGCGTGAGCTCTGCGGTTAAGGACATTTGGAAGCCAACTGCCGCTGTCTGGCTAGCTGGCTGCCCGCCTATCATGCGATTATTGATGAAGGATAATGCATAATTGCTCGCCAGACGACCGAGACGAAGACGACATTTGTGCTTATAGTAAAAAGCGACAGCAGATGCAATTTGAAGATCGCCAAGGATCACAGAGATGAGAGCCAGCGACAGAGACAGAGAAAGAGCCGAGAAAAAAGCATTTTAAATTTTATATTAAAGTGGAAATGCATATTCATGTGCTGTTTGGCAGCATCCTGGCAGCAGGCGCGCGTCTGTCCGACTGTATGAAGGAAATACAGCTGCTGCTGCCTCTTCTGCTCGTCTGCTGGCGTTTTGCAAAATGCAAAAAGGACGCTGGCGGAACAGGAACAACAGCAACAACAACGAATTAAATGCGCCGCGTTTTTGGCAAGGCTTCTCGTCCACTTCGGGAAATAGGACGTTACATTCAGTAAAACTACCCCAATAATTTGGTCGCCATCTATCCATTCATCCATATGTGCTTGCATTTCATGTTTCTGTTGTCTCTACTGTTCGTGTACGAAAAGGGTTTCCATGCGTTGTGCTCTTTTTTCGTTCGTTCTTTCTTTCTTTCTGCCATTTGTTTGTTTGCCAATTCCAGGTGTAAATTTATCTTGGACTGCATTGTGTGCCCGGATTCATTGTATATACTTGTAGATAGTATGCATATAGTAATAGTGCATATAATATGCACGAATATTGAAAATAGGAAACACGTGGCTTTCTGAGGGAACGTGCGCTCTGACGTGCGCCAGTTGCCTTACCGATAAGGTTCTTCACTTTTGATAAACAAACGCATTTCAGCCTTCGTCGATATTTATAAGAATTTTTGCAGGCGCCTTCAAACATAAGATTTGGGGTTCAAATTTGAACAGCTGGTGGTGGTTATGGGCAAACTTTTCGACTGGGGAAAGGGGTCGGTATATACTAAACATGATCAGCCTATCCAGGCTAAAATATATACGTAGATATGTCCGTATCTCCATCTACAATGGATACTAAAGCAGACAACCATCTAGACTTGTTATATCAAGATTATTCTAAAGCATATAGCTTAATTATGTATTTTAAACGGCAGCACACTCCACTTTTAGAATATCGCTCTAAGACTTTAAACGGGAATAATTTTAATTTGAAACTGTTCTTTTATTGAGAAAAATTTTTCTTAAATAAGGAAACTATAACTCAAATTTCTTACATTTAAAAATGCTTCCAGATCAGATACTTTAATTTTTGAGGTGAATCAATACTTTTGATTAAAAAAGAATATTTCTAAAAATATGTGTATTTTGTCCGGAAATCAAAAAACTATTGGGATCACCAACTGAGTTTTCTGTTAGTGTCTGCTATAAAAATGAACTGTATGTATTTGTGTGGGATTAAATACAATTATTTATCATAGGAAAAATATCAATATGTATGTAATGAGGATTCGAAAATTATAATAAACGCCGGTGAAATTTAATATAGGGTGTATTAAAAACAAAAGAAATAGTAACCAAAATTATGGAGGAAATAATTTTAAAACTATAAAAAATATAGGTTTAAATATTTTAAATAAATGTATAGATTAAAGAACTTGTGCCATTATTACATTTGGTCTTAATGTTTTGTAATATGTGTTATGAAATATTTTCCTTATATTGCGTTTATTTGATAAATTGTATATAAATCCTTGTGCTGAGAGAATAATAAAAGCCCTATCTACGAGTGGGGCGATTAATAATCTTTAACTTAAGTAAATAATTCCAATACTTGTATGTAGAAAAGATTAAAAAGTGATCCACATTTGGAGCTTTACTGATAGAGCAATTTCTGTCTGGGGGAGTCTTATTTTTCACGATAAATTTAGATTTCAGCACATGTGTACCCCGTATTTCTGTTTGTCGCGCCTCTCTCGCCTCTCTTCCAGCGATCGCTCGCTCTCCCACGAAAATGCAAACATCTGCTTGAT